AAGTTTCACTAGTTTTATAAGATAAGATTTAACGATGATATATGTTACACTTGGTCTTTACATATTAATACAATTTGAATAAATAAGAGTTATGGTTACTATCGATAAAAAAATTGTATGACAGTTTAAAATCCAATATATTTAAAATCCAACATATTTAAACGACTCCACAAATGTGTTCGATTTACACCAAGAGTAAAGAACCAAGAAACTTGAGTTTTAATATAAACACTCAAAACCAATAAAGAAAACTACAAATTTGACAGATCATAAGTCATGAAAAAGACAAAAAAAATATGGGTTTTAGAATAAAATTTTAACTGCTTACCCTCTTTTTTGTCCAGAAACTCAGATTAAGGTTAAATTAATACATGTATATATATATATATATATATATATATATTTCAAAAAAAACCCCAAGAATATATTAATTAAGAACATATTATACAGTGCAATTTGGACAGTCTAACCCAAAATATATAGTATATATAAATAAATAACTATAAAAGTATAAATCGTAAATATTAAAAATATTTTTTCACAGTATATATAATATATAATAATATAATTAAGTCAAAAATTATTCAATATTGGACTCATTTCGAAGGTATTAACGAGACGATTATAATGGTGTAACTTGTTAAAATAAAAATGTATTTTTTAAACATGTTTTAATTAATTAACTAATTATAATGGTGTAACTTGTTAAAATAAAAATGTATTTTTTTAAACATGTTTTAATTGATATACGATTATGTATATTAATTTGATAAAGGTTTAAAATGAAGCATTTAAAAGTAAAGGACGTAAAGTAAATTAATTAACTAATTATAGAGATATAAAGTGTAAATTTAAAATTATAATTTTAAAAGAATCGGTTGTGAGAGGGTGAGTGTATGTAAGAGGGTGAGTATATGTGAGGAGAGGAGGGTGAAAAGTAATATAAAGGGTATCTTGGTCATTTAGTATTTTAAGACTTTAAGACTTTTGTTAAATTTGTTTTATAAGATATTATAGATAATCTTGAATTTTAAGTAAACATTGGTTTTATGTGGTTTTGAGAAAGTGGTAATATTTTTATTTTTGAAT